CACTGAGAAATTTTGTGTATTTTAAAGTGTTCCTTTTGTCCACACCAGCTGCTCAACTGTCGGTCACGACTATTCTGGGCATTATTTTACAAGCATGAGGTTACTGGAAAATCAATAAAGAAACCAGAGTATCACTATTTTTATGCCAGACTAGTAAAACTGTAAGAGTGTTATCGATCTTCTCGTCTTTACAAGAATATATATGCACTTTCCCAAAATAATGAAGCATTCCTTACAGGCATATCTGTTACTGAGCATTCCTAAGCTGTTAAACTCCCAACTTTCAGTAATCCAACCACAACTAATGTGCCAAAACTCACTACACAGGAATCTCTTTCTGCTGTTGGTGCTACATCCTTGCTCAGTGGTAAAATATGACAGTCAGAAAGTCGACCAACAAAGCTGCCATTGACAGGCTTTCAATATTGATTTGGCTGTAAAAGCTGTTACAGATTTTTACCACCTTATGTGACCCCTTGAGAGGATCTGCATTTGACTTCTGTTCATTTTCACAGTACATGCACGACCCCTGGTTTCGTAATTAAACATACTCATCTTTGGCCGACTGAGACCGAATTAAGCAATCTGCAGACAGACTTTAAGGTCACATATGTCTGTGTGACACACTGTAGCCAGACTGTAAATAATCAACCTGATGATAACAGACACGAGTAGAACCAGCTACTCGTGTGTGGCTGTGACTCAGCTTTGAGTTTTAATTTTTTTGGGACTTATGTTCAAATTTAATTTTCCTAAAACTGTAATTTGATTTAAAAGACAAAGAAGTCCGTCTCATTATGAAAATGTCAAGGTCTAATGCATTGCGTATCCCGTTCGGGGGACTTTTAATGCCAGTTGTTTTGTCTAAATGGTGCGCTCTTGACTTCTGAGCACTTTTCTATCAACACTGATGTGTAACGTAGAATTTGCTACAGTCCTCTGACTACGACAGAATCAACGTAGCTCGTAAATGCAAATTTCTATTTCCACATTTCAAGATTTTCTTAACTTCTAGTACTTTCATTACGTCTGTTTTAATTCTTGAAAACAGAGCACCTACTCAGGAAATGAGCAATTTTTTAATTTTTTATTTTTTTTTTAATCAGATGATCTATTTTGTAAAATGATATTTCTGTCAAATCACTGTAATAAAGAAGAAAAATATTACACTGAAAGGGATCTGTGTGTTTTATGAAAATCATATCAGCGTCAACATCAAACAAATCAATTACAAAAATGCATTGTCAGCGCAGGATGATGTTGTGTTTTGTACATGAGTGTGTGTGTGTTTGTGTCACTGTGAGTGTGTGAGGCTTGTGAGGGCTCGCAGTTGAAGCGGCAATGCCACATTAGTGTCTCTGTGCCACTGAGGTGCGATGACATGGGGAGGTGGTGTCAGGACACTCTGAGCTACGCCGGGGGCCTTCAGCAGCGACCACAACTCCTCCCCTCGTGTTACTATAGCAACGAGGTCCTCCTCATCAGAGCACCAGGCAACCGATCCGCTTCTGGTTACGGTCCTTAGTTTAGAGAGGAACAGAGACACCCTAAAAACAAAAACAAAACACACACAAACGATATCAGAACATATCAGAAAGTCCTGGATGAAGAAAAGAAAATATTGCATCTTTAAAAAAAGTCTGTTACCGAGGTATGAGGTCATGTGACCGTGACGCCAGCTTAGCGAGAGCGCTCATTAAAGTGTTGATGACTTTAGGGGCCGGGCAAACCGATCCAGTTGGAGGGGCAGACGAAGTGATCTCAAACAGCACCGCCTCCAGTGCTTCAAAACAGGAAGTGATGAGGCTCACGGAACAGCGAGAGTCACATGACACAGAGAGGTACTCTCCCAGCACCCACACCTGAGAGACAAACAAGCTCAGTGCTGTTTCAGCATCAAGTTTTGAGCAAATGCTGAAATGTGAGAAGCACTGGGTTTGTGCACATAACCCAAGATACACAGAAGAGTCAGCACTCTCTTTACCACATGTGTATAGAGTTCCTCTTTGCTGTAGACGTTGGCTGTGCTTCCAGCAAACTCCAGCAGCTCGTGGGACTGGTTCACGACCAGAGAGGGGTGGAGCTTACACAGCCTCAACAGGTGGCAGCTGAACACCCTGCAGAAACAGTGAGAAGTGGTTGGAGCGAGTGAGTGAGGAGATGAGGATGAGAGTGAGGCAGGCAGCAGCGCTTTAGTGTTTGGGTGTACCGGTGTATCTCTTTGATGTACGCAGGGATGTTAAGAAGCAGGCTGCTTCTCTCCAGCATCACCAGAATCAAATGAGCCAAAAGCTTCTCGTCAGCGATCTGAAAGAGACGCGCGACATATTTTTTTAATAAGATGCATATTGTAAACTGCAACACAGCAAGTACAGACGCAGCGAATTTGTAAAGAATGTCGAATCTTTTCACCGTAACAATTGTGTTGAAGAAAACGTGCAACAACACGGGGACCGTCCGAGCACACTGAGTGACTCTCGGCCAGTCAGCAGCTTCAACCAGCAGCTCATGGAGCGTGCTCAGTCGGTCGATTGTGTCACCTAAACAGGGTGATACAAAATTACAATGATTTCATTGGCTAGAGCATCATTTAAGAAGCTACCTGCCCCTGCTGCTTAGATTTAAACAGAAATACAGAAGAAACAAAAAGCAAATACACTGTGTGTTGATCAGAAATGTTATTATTATTTGGGGCTTTTTTGCCTTTATCATAAGGGCAGTGAAGAGAAGACAGGAAAGCAGGGAGGAGCCTTGGGTCAGAGCAGACCTGACCTGAGACCCTACCTGAGCCTGCCTCCGTTCGGAGCACGAAGAGGAAAAGCCCTCTGAAAGAAGGGTTTCGAAATGCATCCAGTGACACGAAGCTGCGACCGACTGGCTCAGAGATGGGCAAACATGTGGACCTGTGACACATGAGACCCAGTGAGACAGGGATAAAAACTGTGCATGTAACCAAATCCCTGTGGGAAGCAGTTTTGCTCCTCTGTGTGCCTGAACCTGTGCTGCAGGACCAGCGTGGCAGAGAGACAGGGCAGGTCAAGCAGGGTGTGAAGCAGCTCCACCGCAGTTCCAGTTGTAACCATAGAGGGCAGCAGATCCACAAAGTCATCCACCATCGCCGGACTGTCCCATGCTAAAAACTACACAGAAAGAGAGAACATGTAAGGAATAAAACGCACATCCACAATCTAACAATTGTTGCACATGTTTTCACCTTCAACAGATTTGGAAAGTAGCGCGTGTACTGTGGAACCCGAAGCTCTATGCTTTCCAGGTTAAGTCGAAGGAAGCGTAGAAGCTCGTGTGCCAGGAATGGGTCGTTGAAAAGCTCCGTAGGAAACCGACCAAACACCACCTTCCACACGTTCTCACAGTCCACTGCAGCCATCTCGCCTGATCGGATATAAATAAACATATTCAACCTTGCACGAACAGAAAAAGGGGTCATGTATGATGTCATTGTGTGAGCAACCAATTTACAGTGAACACACGTGACCCTGTTTTCCGTTCTAAACTTGTGGCAGCTGCGAGCACACGTTGCTGTGTATGCGCACCGTGGTTGAGGTAGAACTGTGCTATGGGCAGCAGGACTCTGGCATACGACAGCTCTGAGCTGAGGCGACCAAAGAGAGCCTTTATGCAGGGGAAGGTCCTGTAGACCAACGAGGCGTCCTCAACACACACGCAGTCCAGGATGCACACGGCCTCCACCAGACACTGAAACAGGAAACAGGACACAAGGGCAGCAGAATAAATCTTGATAACACTGCAGAACTTTCTTTTGGTTTACACCAGTGGTTGCTCTAATGCAGGGGTGTCAAACATAAGGCCCTAGGGTTAGAATCGGCCTGCCGAGGAATCCAATCCAGCCCACTAGAAAATGTGAAGGAGGGCTTAGTTTTTACACACTAACTACATTTTCGTAGCTTTTACAGCTTTTCCAACCGATAAAAACCTCAGTCATGGCCAATTATACTGCACTAAAAAACCAAAGTAATAGATAAACATCTTAATGACAGAAGAGTTCCTCTTTTTTATTATCTACAACAGAAATGTCTTTTTTTATAGTGGGTCTGAAGTTTAAAATAAGATTTTTTGTACACGTCTATTCCTTACAATTTAATCATGCTGACAGGTTTCCCCCACTTACTGCAGCTGCATTTCTCCATTGTGTCAAAAATCAGAGATGCACTGTTGAAACTGCACTTCTTTTCTCTTATATGAAGCTATCTGAGGGACTCAGTGTAGTTAAACGACACAGGAAGGGGAGTTTTCTCTGGTCTGGCCCCTTTCAGGTCAGAGTGGGCTGTGACCTCAAGGGGTGATGTCACCGCCCAGACTTGATGTCTGGTTCAGCAACATTTATCCCCAAATGAAGAATGACTGAGCACTTTATGCACTCAACAGCTGTAAACAACCTCCAGAGGTATACATTCCACCTTCCCTTTGAGTCACTAATTCACATAGTTTGGCTCTTTTTTGTTTTGACATGTTTCTATTCATTTACATTATACTGTGAGTCATTCCCAAACTGTGTTACATATCCACACAAGTCAGAAAAACAAGTCAAACAGCAGTGCATCTTACAACACCATTGTGTGGAAGTGTAACGCAAAGAATGTAAAATGTAATTAGGGGGTTAGGGGCAGAAAAGGACAGTGTAGATCAGCAACTGAGCCAGACTAAGCCAAGCATCCTATCTAGGTCTCCTTCTTTAAGCCTGACTTCTTAAACAGAACACCAGGAGGCGCTCTTTACTACAACACAGTGAACAGGAAAAGCTACAGTTATCTACATCAACACTGTGGCTCTTAGTTTAAGTATTAAAGGAAGTCGGGCTAAAAGTGTCTAAAAGTGATTTAAACCCCTCAGTTTTACAAACTGCACCATGAAATGTGTTTCCATAGTAATAATAAGTGATCCGCAGACTCACCGCTTTTTGCAGTTCTGTATCGGTCTTCTTGTGTGCCTCTGATGGAAAGAGAACAAATAAAGATCCGTGCATGAGGAATTCTGCTACGCGTCTCACTTTTCTCTCACCCGGTGCAATTTAATGCACACACACTCACTGCGGTCGCTCTGTTCGATGAGGCGCTGGCAGTACTGGAAAGCCTTCTCTCTGAGACGCTCCTTTGGAGGCAGCAGTCGGCTGGAGGAGGACGTCGCCGAAACCATAGAAACTACGGACCCGTCCACCTCCGATCGGTCATCTGTGACAACGTGTAACGGCTCGGGAATTAGAGGTCGTGACCTTCTCGGTTTAATGATTCGTGATTAAGGTCTATATCCGATTGCTCCGAACACATCAGGAGTCAGAGTTAAATTGTTAAGTAGAATCACTACAGGTTAGTAAAATGCCTCATGCCTCGACTGAAACCTACTGTTGCAGTCTCTAATTTCACCTCTTAGAACACAGAAATGAAAGAAATCAACACAAATGTGCTCATATTTTTGTGATGTTAATCAAAGCTTAGTTACAGTATTCTTAAAGTGTACCATGCAAGGGATCAAAAGAAGCATTATTAGACCACATTAGCTAGTAATAACTTTGATATACACTTTCATTTTAGGAACCTTGTTTTCTTTGCTCATATTTCAGACACCAGTTCTGTGAAGCAGGATTTGAGGCTCTGTGAGCTAACATCAAGTTTAACCCTTGGATTTCAATATCATGAAGGGCGTTCCCATCTTACCGGGATTCACCATCATAGCACCCACAGCACAACCTGCTCCAGGACAGATCCACATGACTACCAAAACACCACCTACTGACCCTGCTGCACAGGCAGTGACAGGATCTCCCTTTTAGAGATCGTCTAAATCCCGACAAGCATCAATAAGAGACACAAATTCTCAACAGAGGGAGCATTATTCCAGTCCAGGTTTGAAAGAAAAGGGGACACTGGACTTTCACTATTTTAGCCATAACAGATCAGCACCCTGATAGCAACACCCTGAACCGCTGTTACATGCAGGACGGATTCATGCTTCTGTGCTGTTTACACCAAATTCTGACCATCTGAATGTTGCTGCAGAAACTGAGATGTAACCAGGCAATGTTTTCCCGATCATCTTTTGTCCGATTTTGGTGAGCATGTGTGAATTGTAACCACACTGTCCTGTTCTTAGGTGACAAGAGTGGCACTCGATACATTCTGCTGCTCCATCTCATCTGCATTTCTTCTGCATATTTTGGTTCTAACGAGTTGTTATTTGACTTCTAAGTCTTATAAGCTTGAAGCGTCCCAACGATTCCGTCCTCCACAAATGACTCGATTTTCTTTTCATTTTCCTCAAATTTGTATTCTTGTGGGACATTTATGGGTTTAGCCGCATCCATGTTTGCGTTTGGTCACATGGTACCAAAACCGCCTCTTTTACATTAACCAGCTTTTAGCTTGATTTGGAAAATCTTAGCTGACGCTGCTCAGCAGAACTATAGTATAGCCAGGTAGTAAAACAGATCTAAGGGATCTGTTGAACTTCCTTTGGTAATCTGTAACTGTTTCCATGCCAAATTATACAATTAAATCATTGCGAAAAATGTGATCAGAATATTAAGCTCACATAAATCCTTTACAGTTTTGGTAAAAGATTCAAAACGCCATCAGATTACAGTTTTATAATTCATCCTTACAAAAACATGTTTTGACCGTGTGGAGAAAGGCCAACCATCACTGCATGACTAAGACTAGCTTCATATTTTGTTTGTATCTTCGAGCCAGTCTGTGGGCGACACTGATTTACCCAAATCACTCATATCGGCATCTGTTTGTATCAGTGGATTCTGTATGAGGCCAACTGGACTGGATGAGTCACACTGACAATGTAAACAAAACAGCGTCTACGTTCAAACTGAACAAATTCACTTTGTTAACAGCAAACTGATGAACTGGCCCTCTGCGCACACAGGACGCATTAAGATCTTTAGCTTTAACATGACTACCGAGGGCTAGATGTAAGTAACCATACACGTTTGAGAAAGTGACGATTATCACTGATGACACAATGACTAATAAATTGTCGGAATGCTATTATAAGAAAGCAACACAGTCAAATTAGGGTCAAAGACCACAAACATCCAAACACAGAAGTTTCAAGATGAAATCGAGCTTGCCGCCCACACTTTACACAACACATGCAATGTGTGGCATTTGCAGTTCAGCATCTCACCCTTAAAAATGGCTGCTGTCAGAGCATATTTGATCATGATTAGGCCCTCATAAGAAAAATTAGGGGAAGGCAAATGACTGTGGAAAGAGGAGGTTAAAAGTCAGAGATTATGATTTCTGATTAGAGACTTGTTTGTTAGTTAAAGCTTAGAGTTGTGAGTTCATCCGTACCGCCTCCAGTTAAAGAACAGTGGGGGAGTTCAGCTTATTTAATTCTTAGAATCAGGCACATGCAGGGAAGGTTCACAACCTCTCATATCTTACCATTTGAAAAGGAGTGGGAGTGGGAGACTGACAGGCTGAGTTGTAGCCTGTTTGCTGAAGATGATGAAAACACAGAGCAGGTCATCTGAGACTTAGTCATATGAAGCAATAACAGCCCTAATAACTCCTACCTTGAAGCAAAGGCTCCTCAAAAAATAGAATAGTCATTCTTGGAAAAGTATTATACGGCCATTCAAACACCTGCCATTTAAGCTAGTTTATAACTAATAGAAGCAAAAATGGCTCAGATGGGCAGAACTGTGGAGCTGTTTATAAATAGAAACACATAAAAGTGTCACTAGCATATTACAGCAAATGGTCATACCTGCATCTACTGTGCTGCAGCTGGAATGGTAGGTGAGAAGCCAATGACGCAGCATGGAAAAGGAGTAGACGTTCATCCACTGGTCTTCAGTGAAGCCCTGACCTACACATAGGACAGTGAAGAAATCTCCGGACACAGATCCATCCAGCTCTGCTATAGGCACCGGCTGACAGTGGGAGAAGGGAAAAAATCCACAAATAATCCAGTTTAGCTTTACTAAATTATATATTCACTAGTTCATTACCTTCCTGGAAGAGTCACAAGCTTAATGTAATCCTATACTTGCTAATACTAATAATACTTACCTAATACTTGCTCAATATGAAAATTAACTGCTCACCTGACGGGATCTGGGCCCCGTGAAGAATCCTCCAGAGGAAGTCCCGACTCCCTGCATGACGCTAGCATAACGCAGCCAATCAACAAGCTTTTTGCTTACAAGGGTCATTTGATCTGCAGACAGTCAGAATTGGAGAGAGATTTGAGTGCAACTCCCTCCAGTGCAAACAACTTAAAGCAATAAGATAAGACACATGGAGGTGAATCCAGAGGTTTCCCTTCACCCCTCATTATCACTCTTCTCCAAATTAACTGTACTTTGAAGGACTAAACAGGCTTGAAAACACACAAACATTTTCTTTATATACATTTTAATTTTATGAAATTACCAACAAACATCATAACACGGTGTGTTCTACACTGGGTGAACAATTAGTTGGTGCTGATAGCAGATGCAGAAAGTGATGTGGAATTATTTTTTGCAACATTTGATAAAAGTCCAGATCTGTATCTGTATGTCCCGCTACCTTCGCTGAGGCACTCTGGGCTGTGTGTGAGGACGTTGTTGAGAACTGGCAGGGTGTGCATGAGCGAGTGAGTCGGCCCTTCAGACGGTCGACTCTCCAGATTGCGAAGAAGTTGAGTGCAGAGAGATGAAAGATCACCCTTGGATACAGCCTGTCAGGATTTAAAGTGTGAAAGAGGATTGCATTAGATAATGCCTTTAAAAAAGTCCAACAAGTAAGACACACACACAACACAAACTGGGACTGTGTTACTAAATGTCTTCTATATTTAAAATTACAACAATACTGGCTAATTATTTTCCCAATATCCTGAGCTGCAAAAGGATGTGGTGAGTCTTATAAATACATGTCTCACAGTAATGAAGAAGTAGGCTCAACCACACAATTTCAGTTCTGCCCACCTGTGAGAGCAGCAGACCAGCAGCGTGACTGTTCAGCTGACCGAGATTGTCCTGGTAGTAATTCAGCTCCTGACCAGTGAGGGGCAGCGTTTCTCTGAGCACAGCGGCGCTCAGCACCTGATGCTGCTCCGCAGGTGATGAGAGAAGCGCTACAAACCTCTTCTGGAGCTCTAAAGGCAGCCTTGGGTTGACGACAGCAGAAGAGAAATAAGACAACGCACTTATTTATCCCACAGTGATGCAGACCCAAGACATTTGGCTTGACTTATTTGGCTTGACTTGCTTTTTAAAAATTATATTAAGCTAAGGGATAGTTTTAAACATGATTACAACTTTAATTAAAAGTGTGGGAAGAAAGGGAAGCTGCTCTTTACTGTGAAAAAAAGACCACATGGAAAGTGAGAGGCTGAACTGTTGAAAACACTGCCTTTGAGAACACAGAGCAAAGGAACAGCAACTTGCAGACATAACAGCAAAATGTAAGACCTGACATTTATTCGTTTGAACTGCTGATTAGTGGAACTCTTAACTCTTAGGTGGTCACGGTGGATGAAACATAGTTTAGAGGTTGTTGCAAGAAAACAGATGGCATAGGTGCTGATAAGATGATAGGCGCTGAGAGCAGAGGAGACCACGGCAGTGTGGAAATGTGGGTGTCTGATCACCGATTTCAATTCCGCCCCCAGTTTCTAGGCGTCCTGACTAAACCACAATCCCAAAGTTTTCAAAAGGAAACAGACATCATGCACAGGAAGTGCTACTGAAATTGACTATTTAAAAAAAGTGTAGTGTTTGCGTACCCTGAATCTCTGACACTAATGAGGAAAGAGTGGGAGGAGGGAGTGAAAAAAGTGGGTTTAGAGAAAGAGATAAGTAGCTTAAGTTATAAGAAATGAATACACAAAGGTAGGAATGAATCATTAAGTTTAAAATGTAGAGCAGTGAGAATGAAAACTGGTATCAGCTCATCCACGACATGAAGTATGAGAGGCGTGGGTGGGAGTTCTTACGTTCGGGTGTACTTGGTGGCAGAAAGGATGAGGTGCAGCCTTTGCAGGGAGTCCACTGTGTCGTGACCGAGGTCCTTGCCCTGAAGCATCTTCATTAATCTGCTGTAAAACTTCTGCAGCTCAGACTCCTGAATCTCTCTGCAAACGACAAAGTGCGGCTGGTTTTGATCTCTTTAAAGACCCCTGACAGATCTCACGGAAGCTAAACACTCGTTGAAAAAATAAAAAAATAAAACCCTGACAGAGTTATGTGACAGCGAACACATTTCTTTCTACTCAAGTTAAAGTCGCAAACGCTTTAAAGAGCCCTGAGAAGAATGTATCTTTAAAGTGCGTTTGAATAACATGGAGATATGTTCAACATGCTAGCTAGCTTTAGTTTCAGTAGCTATACAGATTAAAGAAAAGCGAAATGCGGGGAGAAAGAAAGAAAGCTATCCTTTCATTCTGCCCTTACCTTGCTTGTTTAATTAAACTCTCTGAAGCGTGAGAATACATTTTGAAAGAATATTATTCTGCCTCATCTGTCTGAAGCGGAAGGTAAACAGTCCGTTTGCTAATCGAGTCCTGACTGGAATCACATGACGTGACTTTAGTTCCGCTAATGAACTAAAACCACTGCCGGACCCTCCCACTCCGTTTGTATTCAAACAGTTTAAAGAAAAAGTGCACGGTGGCAGGCATATTTACGGACGAACCGAATAAAAATGACTGTGCCTACAAACCTTCTTCGAAAGCATTTGAAAAGGTTCCAGGTTTTTGCGACAGTCCTTCGACGTACACAATACGTTACAATCAGATGACAACAAATTGCTCAATTATAGAAGGGTAAATTTAATTCTTAATAGGTTACATTGTAACTTTTAATTTTATGTCTTTATATTTAAACATTTACTTAGTTTGATACTTTTATAAATACATTTTTTCTTATTCTGCTTTGTCCTACTAAACCTGAGCTGTCCCTTTGATGTGATCGTTTCTAATCCTGTCCATCATGAAGAAACTTAGCGTCTTTAGCTCTGCCTCTATACATGATAGCAGGTCTCACTACCGTCTTGTAGTGCTGATACTTGTAGTGTGTATACTAATACAGAGCCAGTAATGCCAATATCAATACTGAGACCGATACTTTCAACTTTCATGCTAGTATCGATCTGATACCAATACCCGTGTTGGTATCAATACTATAGATCTGCGGACCCTCACATTCTGTAACCTTCGCTTTCACCCTTCCCTTCTTAGGCTTTTGTCCCACAAAACACCTACACCACTTGTCTCCACTCCACCCTGCCTGCACTCTCTTCCTCACCTCTCTTGTGCACTGTCCATTGGTTTGCATGGTTGACCCGGGGGATTTAAACTCACACACATTCACTGTCTCTACTCCTTGCTGCTTCACTGTTACACCTGTCTCCCTCTCATCCACACACATGCATTCTGTCTTGCTTCCAATGACTTTCATTCTTCTTCTCTTCAGTGTATACCTCCACCTCTCCAACCTCTTTACCACCCACTCCCTTCTCTCACTACAGATCACAATGGCGTCCCTAAACATCACAGTCCACGGAGACTCCTGGCTGAGCTAATCTGTCAGCACTTCCTGTTCCATCACTACTGTCTCGCTGTCCTCATACGTCCCTCATGCAGTACCACAGTTCCTGTCTTGGCACCCTATCATATTCATTTTTCTTTAAATCCACAAAGACACAATACTACTCCTTCTAATCTTCTCTGTGCTTTCCCATCAACACTCTCAAAACAAACATCCCATCTGCAGTGCCCTTTCTCATCATGAAGCCACACTGCTGCCTACTGCTCGTCACCTCTCTTCTTAACCTATAGCTTTAACGACTCTTTCCCACAACTTCACAGTACGGCTCATCAGCTTCATTCTTCATGCATCCTCACTCTCCATCCTCTCCTTATCTCCATGTCATCTGGACCAATCTCCTGACTACTCTTCATTTACTACTATAACTTATGTAAAATAAATTGTGTTTATTTCCTTTAGTTTTGATCGCTCATTGTGTTGAATTCTTTCTATGAGTCTGTCTGCAACACACAGTTGTTGTTGTTTTTTAACTGTTTCTGAATCGGTCAAAGTAACACTTCTATTTTCTTTAATGCTAATTAGCCCCTAGCCGTGTGCTCTTTCTCCAGTGAAGAGAATACAGCTCCTTCTCTATGTTAATGATAATCCCACCACAACCTCTTCTTCCCCTATTCAGACGTGAGAGACATTACAAAATTAACACTATTAATACGCATTTTGCTCGCGTGTAAAGACAAGTTTTTTTTAGCCAGTTGTGGCTGAAACTTCACTTGTATGCGAAATCTAGAAGAATGGCACATCGGCCCTTATGGACTAAAGCAACAAATAAATAGTTTATGCAGTGTCAGGGTGCTGAAATGTTGCCATCATCAATGTAACAATATGTAAAGTAAATATAGGCCATATAAAGCCATAAACATACAAATACCTATCGGGTGCCTATGCCCAAAGAGTGTTTTCAGGTTATGATCGGTGAAACTTTATCCTCGGGAATGCATTTAAGTGTTTCTCTTTCTGAAGCACAGCATCAGACGAAGATAAGGGGGAAAAGAAGCTGCCGTTAAGTTGATATCACCCAGCTGAGTTTACGTCAGATTGTTAGACATGAAGCATAACAATCCTCATATAATACACTGTAAACTCACAGGTCCCTGTTAGAGTGGACGGGTTTATGGCAGGGCAGTGATGCCGTATCTGATCACAGCCACAGCGCAAACACTTGCAGGTCACGGCGGCTGCTGCGGGGTTGCGCTCTTCCTCACCTCCGTGCGCAGAGCTTGTTATTTCCATCCGAGCTCACATCGCCCGCCTCCTCTTTCTCTCTCTCTCTCTCTCTCTCTCTCTCTCTCTGTTTCTCTATCTCTATCTGAGGCAGTGAGTCGGGGCCGCAGCTCCCATGCGCTCTCCGCTCTCTTTTTAAAAAAGAAACTTCTCATTCTTTCGGATAAATGGAGACAACTTGAGCTTTTAGGATCCATGGTGGATAAACCGGTGTTTAGATTTTAACGAGGCAAGAAAAACAGCAGAATCAGGCTCCACACCACAGCTAGAAGCCAACTTTACCGTCTCTGCGACTCTTTGAAATTCACATCCGCCGCATCTCAGGTAAGCAAAAAAATGGCCGGTATAGAATTGCCCGTCTCCCCTCCCTTTCCCTCATAAATATGTCAAAACTTTTCATGTTTATTATTGAGGGAAAAGGTTCACCAACAGCCTTGTAAACGTGCCGCACTTTTTTGGAGTGGAAAAAGCGAGGAGTCACACAGGCTTTACACCTCATATCACCGCAGCGATGACAGACTTTCTAAACCGTGCTGTGTGTCATCTAGATTAGAGCTATGATTAAAATATAGACCGCACCACCCTTCTGAAAACAAGGCAGGTATTCTCTCAGAAGAAACGACACTCGATAAAAGACGATGGCAAATCTGTCATCTGCATTTATGACTCCGTTCACCTGTTTTTCTGGCTCTTACATTAGAAAATTTATAGGCTATTAGATGTGTAATATAATATCTGCAATCCTGTCGTGGTCTGCTCTTTATCTGGCAATATCCAAATGTTTGGGATTCCAGCAGCAGGTGGAGAAACAATGACATCCAGTGAGAGTGAGAGTGAGGGAGACGCAAGGACACACACATGTCACGGACAGCGCACTGAGATGTGACTGGCGTCGGCTTGTAAAAAACCAAAAACCTTATCATGTTTGCTGAAAGTGTTGAGTAATATTTGTCAGGAAATGGGACGATCTAATTTTAAAAAGTGCACAAAAAGGGACACCACCCCACCAACAACATGCACTCCCTTTTCAAATGCTGTAAGCAGAAAAATGAGTAATATTAACTTGTCAAAGCTGGTCCAACAGGCATGGGAAGCCAAGCCTATTGGACATGCCTATTGCCTGTCATCTCTGGGCTCAACTGTTCATTCTTTTCAGTTAAATTAAAAGTGAAATGCAAAGTATTTTTTTTGTTTATTTATTTGTTCCGCTAAACTACGAAAGCAGTGCATATCAATCTTTTAGAGATGCTCGACGTCCGCCTTTGTCTGCTGTGTTCTTTCACCGATCTCCACAGAGGGAACCCAGATATCAAATTCTTATAGCTTCAGCTATTCGGCCAGACAATGGAGTCTTTATGATGGTTTGTACACCTGAACCAATCATAATCTGCCTATCAGCTAGCTGACCCGCCTGTATGAGGCCAACACTCTGACAGTAAGCCTTGACCCCCCCACGTAGGATCATATGACCAGATCTCGTGCACCTGGATGGACTGCATTTGAAAACTCAATGCAAAACATTTATCCGCTACAGAATAGCGCAGAAAATAGTACAAATTGCATGTGCGGATCAATGGCACTGTCATCCTATGTCACACATTGTGAGTCTATGAGTTGCAACACTGTTAAGCTGTATATTAGATCAAAATTTGAATTATTTGTATTATTTAATTTAGAGAGGAATATCTGTACGTCTTTACCGTTTGCATCTTCCTAATTAAATTCTTTCAGCACTCTGATTTTGCAGGGATTTATACAGAGATTTATGTTCTCTGGGATTTACAGTGAACACCCCCACTGCCACTGACTTTTTCTTGTTGATTTGAAAATTAATCTCAGCTTCCATTATATGCTCTGATCTTAGATGGACCCGCAGAAACTAGTGTCATGTAAGTCTCAGAATGACTGCATATTCTCTGATTGTCAGAGAGTGGTCTCGAGCAAACTGATTCCCATGATACAACCTGGTTTCACAGCAGTTTGGTGTGTTTCCAAAGCGGTTCACACCCGGCCCTGAAAGAAAAGCTTTCTAAATAGTCAGTGCACTGAAGACAAAGGATCACCATTTTAAGGACACTTTACTGCTTTCCATTACAGATGCACAAAAATGAAAATGGTTTCAGAATGAGTTTGATGCCATTGTATTTGAGGTGAAACACTGACGCTGAAAGCAACTGAAATCCCGTTTGAAAACCATATAAAGTAAGTCTTTCACTTGGGTGCACAGGTCCTGATGTAGAGCAACGTTAAAGAAGCATTTGAAATGGAGGTTTCTTTATTTATCGTGTTCCACTGAGTGGAAATACTGAAGCGAAAACATGTAGTGTGACTTCTCCAAAAAGGAAATTCAAATTTTTTTTTCTTTGGGTGGGTGTGTGTCACCCAAAAAGTCAAACGGAGTTTTCTAAGTATAGAGACATTAACAAAAAGGAAGGGAGGGTTAGACACACACACACACACAGATGCATGCGTCTGCGCACTGCTTTAAAATGGACAATCAACTCCTCTGACCGCAGTACTATAAACAAGAGTGGCTGTCTGTGAAGACGAACAGAGAAGAGAGGAAGGGAGCAGCTACTCACATCTGGTTTGAAAAGGAGGAAGCAAGGATGAGCTTTCTCGGTAATCAAGTCCAAATTAAGAAAAGAGAGAAGAGGAAACATGTGTGTGGTTACTGAAGGGGTCTGTGCGTGCATGTGTGTTTGTGTGTGTTTATAATGTGCCTGCATGCACTGCGTATTTG